CCAGTCAAGGTAATATACATTACTTTTTTAAAAATCTCTCTTATTAAGGATTTAAAGAGAAAAAGCAAAGGATTATTAACCAGAAATGTAGGAAATCACTCTAACTTTGAATTTAATATACCATAGCTCAATGAATAACTTGCTTTTACTTTGAAAACAGGTAGACTAGGAAGCAAAAAGAAGAGGAAGATTTAATTCCATTTTTCTCTTTTGACTTTTTTAATGCCCATGTATTTGTTTATCAGAAATCAAAATTTTTTTACTTAACAAATATTTTTATATTTGGTTAATTACCACGTGAGACATGAAGTAAAATAGTCCTGAAATTTTAAACAATTTTCCTATGAAATGTACAACTAGATATTTGCGGAGAAAGGACAAGGGGGAAAATCCTTCCTATGCTCAAGGTAAGTGACACGCTTTCATCCTTAGCTTTTTAATTCATGTTAACTTTGATTTGTAATTGCCTGTCCCTCTGCCTGCAGTTTCCCACTTTAATTATGAATCACTGTCTCTCCATATAAATTGGGGGGCCAAATTACCTGAATCACCTCTTTTTCTCTTCCCCATTACACAGAGTAGCTGTTAACCCACCCAGGCCCCTCCTCTCATTCCAGCCATGTACACCCAAGATGGACTCAGGTAAAAATATCGTTACTTGTGATGGCTGCAGGAATTAAAAATCAAATCCTCAAACTTCAATCTGCATTCTGAAGCATTGAAAAGACCCCATTAGCAGGCTAATAATAAAAAAGAACCAGTTATGATATTCATATAGAAGGAAAGTAAGCAGTGTGATAGGCAAACAGCACATCTTAGTGATACCATTGATGGAAATATTTTTATAAAATTCACAGAGAACTCGTTTTCTAATGACTGGAATATCTGTATTCTAGAGCATTTTTTAAATAGAAAGATAAATGAATGCTTTCAGATTCTGCTTTCAGTGAACCAGAAAATAAGATGGTCTTTCTAATTCATTCCATGCATCATTTGAATGGATGATTGAAGCTTTTGAATATTAAAATGTTTAATAGGTGAAAATTTTACTTTTATAGTTTATAAGTAAATGACTGAATGTTCAATTTTTATTTATGGTTTTTAACTGGAAACTTAAGTTCATTCATAAGGAAACGCATATAAAATCCAGAGATGGGACACAGAGAATTATGTATGTGTATTTTTAAACAGCTTCCTGTTTCGAAATTATGTTGTTTCCAGCAAGAACACGAGCTATATCTTGAAGTTAGTTTTAACTTTAAATAAATATGTGTCCCTGTGAAGACAGGAGAGAGAGACAGCAAAGAAGTACAGAAAATAGCAAACTAGTGAGGTAAGAGGAAGGGGACTGTGGTTTAAGGCATCTACTTTATTTATTTGCACAGCTTGTATCCACCATGAAAACATTTCACTTTGTTTTTTCCCACATCCAGTGTAGAATCAGGTCCAAAAGGGATTTGCGGACACAGTGAGAGAGAACTGACAGTCTGGAGAAGAGGCATCTACGCGCTCCTCCTGAAAAATTCCAGCCCCATCTACTTGAAATGACCTGCAGTCAACTTTATTTAACCTGACCTGTGGTTGCATTTTTCTTCCAAGCCTTCCATGATTAATAACTTTTTGGAGACTGGTGAAGCCAGTGAACATTTGTCAAATGGGATCGTCTGCTTATAAACAACAAGTCCCTCGCAGAAGAGCTCCATAGTTCAGAAGTCCTCTAAGCTGTTCTTAGCTTTCTGTATTCACTGCATTCTAATGGATCCTTTCGGCTGGAAACCTTTCCAACCAAATCACTGAACAACTCAAAGTACATGCCCTGTACAGGCTCCTTCTCTCCTTTTCAACCCCACCCAATCTACTTCAGGCTCTGTAACCCACAAAGACGTACTAAAAATCCTGCTAATGCCTTGTGTGTCGTTAATCCCCCTCCTTCACCCTATACTGCCTTCCCCTGCCACATCAGGCCAGAGAGTCCTGCTTTCAGCTCTAGGAAACCCGGTGCTTTGCTGGATCTCATTGAAATTCCTAATGTTCAAAGCATTCGCATCACTCTTCCCATTTCCCTTTGCCCGACTCTACGTCAGCCCTCCACTGAAGATACACGGATTTACTCCACAGTCCTCCAAACAGACTCCATATGGGCTCCGCACTGTCACTCAACTCAGCATTCCCTGTCTGAACGCCCCTCTCCCCTGCACCTCTTCTCAAACTGCCTGTATTCCTACCAGAAGTCTACTACCTTCCTTCAAGGCCAAGGTCAAAGATTGACTCTTTGCCTTACCTATTCCTGATGGCTCAGCCCACCAAGGGTGATGATCTCTTTTTTGAGCAAACTTCGGCTCTTTCAGCCCTTGCAGTTACAATCTTTCTCTTACTGCTTGTTCACATCACACCCCTTCCTCTTCCTGGATTCCAAGGTCCTGAATCTACGTATACGTGGAAGCATCTTACACAGTGTCTCGTAGGTAGTTAATTGATATTGACTGAATGAATCAACAGTAAAAGGGCAAGTACGCTACTGATTTAACTAAAAACTTTGACATGAGGCTTCATTTTGAGGAAACCCAGGTCCACGGCTATATTATCTCAGCTATGCCTCTTTAAACAGGGTAGAGCTTCACATAGGCACGTTCTATGCTAACGTATTTTAAGCAGATAGAAAAAAGGAGTGTCTGTACAGTCCTGTTTTCTTTAAAGAAGAAAGAGATCACACAGCTTCAAGAGAGAGTCTACCTAACAAATTCAAAACGTGTGGTCTGGTTGTTTGCACCCTCACAATAACCTGAAATCAAAAGAAAAAGAAGGAGAAAGAGATCGTGCAGTATGTCAGAGTTTTCACCTATTTTGAGGATCTTTTCAAAGAGAAGAGAAGAGAAGGATACTTTGAACTTGTAAGATGATACTGCTGTCTGTTTGGGATCGATCATACCCATTCCACTACAGGAAATCTCACTTCATATTGGCCGAACCACTGAGTTTTAAAGACCAAAACCACTGAGTTTTAAAGACCAAACAATCTGAGAAATTGAATATGCAAGGCTGTCCATATTTTACCATAGTGTGTACAGATTTAGAAGACATGAGATTAATAGTTCACTTCTTTAAATTAAATAGGACACTGGTAGCCTAAAGGTCTATAGTAGGGACATGAAAACCTGTGTCATGCTCCTATTATAAGATTGCCGTGTTTCTATCATACTTTATAGATGTGTGAGGAAAGGACAGGATTCCCAGTTTATTGGGGCCATCTTTTAATTTTCCCTTTTTCCTTTTCATTCAATCCTTCAACATTAATTAAATGTTTAGAAGTATGACTATATTTGCATATACACATTAGGCTCAAAAAGCATACTCTTTGTGTACATTTTATTTACATGTAGCCCTTTTTTCACACAAAATTTAAATAGTTCCACAACTGAAGCCATTTGTTTTCCTGAAAAATTAGCATTTCTGGTTAACTTTGTAATTGCTTCTAATGGCATCATTTCTCTCCCTTGATGTGAAGCAACCAAGACCCTCAATATTTCTCAGACCAGTTCTGAGACTATTCTGCTTGTACTAACTCCAGTATTTCTCTTCTTTAAGGCATCAAAACACACAAATTCATCTTTGAAATTCATCTTTTTCAAAGTCTATTCCTTATCTACATTAAGAACTACTGAGTACCGACTCAAACTGATCCTTAATGCATTATATTAAATAGTTCCAATTTGCTTTGCTAATCTTCCTGGGTCACCTTATGTCACCAACTCAGTTATTTCGCATGCTGTGCTACCCACTTTGTCAAAGTATGTGTGCTCAGGACCTTCCTCTCTGAGACTTCTAGACAGAGGCAAGGAAATTGAGATGTCCTCCAACAAACACCTGAAACATAATTTCTCTATATTTTGAATGACTCTCTGAGATGTTTGCGCTTTGCCATTCCTGCAAAACCATATTTCACCATTTGCATATTCTACGGCATTCTCTGCAATGCATTCTGCTTCCTGGTCTCTAATAGTCCACCATGGGCCTGAAGCAGAAGTAGCTTTATTTACTATCACTCAGAGTAGGTGCCCCCCAATTTTTATGTGCTTGTTGATATTTAAGATTACAAATCTTTTATCTAAATCCTGCACATCTTCAGAATTGTATAGTAAAATATGGCAAAATGGCAATGTTCAACATGGTTTCATACCGCCAAGAAGACCCATGGTAAGAAGCAGGGAAGGGAAGGGACTCTGGTCTGTGGTGTCTGGGCACAGACACTCATAGCCTTTGCCTAGACCCATGGATTTAGTTTAACTTGCTTCTTTGCTTACTGTTCCATTTCTCTTTTTTTCACTCATTCATCTAATTTCTCTATGTTGGTCTTTAAGGCCAACATCTTAATATATTAAAATATGAAAATATTAAAATATTTCTGACCTCCGAGATACACTATAAGGAATGACGATTACCTCGGTAGGATGGTGCCCATCTCTAAACTAACCTCCCAGTTTGTGGAGAAAAATAAAAACAAACATTTGAAGTGGATTTCCATGGTTAAGACTCTGAAAAGAGTTGTGAGTCAACATAGCTAGCATTAAAAAGAAAACAAATGATTAAAGCTAATATCTATGTGGTTGTGTATGTGTGTGTATACGTGTATATCTATCAACTATATACATTAAAAGAAAATTAAAAATCACTAAGAGTTCCTTTAAGCAACTTTTCTTTCTGTCAATATTCCAATTTCTCCAACTTATATAGTTTTAATATACTATCAAGAAATGAATTCAAGTTTAAAAGGAAAGCAGAGGTGAATCTAAGTTGAAAATTATTATACCCACATTTGTTTTCCTGCTGAAGTTTTTCCAGTGTTATGCTCTTTCTTAAGTTTTATATATAGCCATGACTTTGTGAAAAATGACAATGGTTTTTCCCAATAAATATCCATCTTAAAAGATGAAGTAAATTAAAAATAATAACTGTAGTGAAGCTGCAGATTACTTAAGGTGCATGTTTAGAAAACCACTTACCTCCAGTTGCCACAGTGATTTCACGTAGGAAATGGCCATAAAATGGAAAATCGAAGGACAGATTCACTCTCTGCAAGGAACAACAGCAGAGAAGAAAATCAATAACGTATAGCCTAGTGAATGTAAAGTGAAGAGAATTTTACTTTAAAAAACGATGCTTTTACTGTACCCCACTATTATGGTAGTTGACTTTGAAAACTGGAGTCCTGAATGGGACTGAAGGATATTTTTCCTGGTAATTAAATTGGAAGTACGTGAAAAGAATAAAGTTAATACCACTATTGTAATTTCATTGTCCCCTGAAAAAGCAGCTCAGTCATCCTGGTGACAATTTGCTTTGGGGTTTCTTTTACAAAAGAGTAGTGCATGTTATTTATAAAGATCCGCTGAGTAAAAGTCAAAAGGTTTTATTTCACACTGATTACACATTCAATTTATTTTCTGTACATCCCACTTATGAAAGGCAGTTTCATGGAAGACCATGTCTTGCCCCTACAAATCTAGACCTACAGACCTTCTCATTTTTTAAATATAATAAACTCTACAGATTTACCATATTATGCCTGCTTTTGAAAGCACAGAGTTGTAGAATAAACAATATTGCTTACTGGAGAACTATGTTATTTGGTATAAAAGGAAAATTAATGTTATTTAGAAAGGAAGTTCATAAATTTATCATTCTTTTTTCTAAAAAGATGCCTGCAGCTTTGGCTCTTAATATTTAAAACAATCACGTGTGTGTGTGTATATACATATGTATCTCTATATACACACACACACGCGCGCATATAGCATATGTGTGTGTGTATTTTGAGATGGAGTCTCATTATGTTGCCCATGGTAGAGTGCCATGGTGTCATAGCTCACGGCAACCTCAAACTTTTAGGCTTAAGTGATTCTCTTGCCTCAGCCTCCCAAGTAGCTGGGACTATAGGCCCCTGCTACAATGCCTGGTTAATTTTTTTGTTGTTGCTATTGTAGTTCTCATTGTTTGGCAGACTCAGGCCAGGTTCGAACCCACCTGCCCTCCTGTATATGGCTGGCACCCTAACCGCTGAGCTACAGGCACTGAGTCATATGTGCGTGTGTGTATTTCTAAAAATAATACGTTAAACTTTAAAAAATCCCAAAACACAAGAAAGCAAAACAAACAAAACACCCTAGCCTTTTTGTATGTTTGAAATTATATAGGGTGGTGCCTATAGCTCAAGGGAGTAGGGCGCCAGCCCCATAAGCCGGAGGTGAAGGGTTTAAACCCAGCCCTGGCCAAAAACAAACTGCGAAATGATATGAAATCAATCTAATATTATTAGGCAAGAAAGAAGAAAAACATTAAGTTATAACAAAGATGATCAAGTGAAATAAAAGTGTCCAGAGAGAAAGTCATTAGCTGGGTTAGAGCCCAACAGCACATACCAACTACTTAGAATAAAATGCTATTATATTAAAATTCTACTATTTAAATATCTCTCCCAATATACAAATTTTTTTTAAAAAGGTTATCTAGATTGAATTTAGTTCTTTCTAATTTTGCAAATGATTGCTTTTTTTATATCCATCAGAGATTTCTAATGACTTATTTGGCATGAAATTAATCACTTAGAATTTATAGAGACCTTCAATTAGGTTTTCTTCTCTTTTTAATGAGAGCCGCATCGTTGTAATGCGTTTATCATCAGTTTTATTTTGTGCTGACTAACAGGAGCCATAAGGCCCATTTTCACTGCACTAACTGAAATGAATCAGTGGTTACTTATAGCCCTAAAATGAAAGCTTCAATGGCAAAGTCACTCATCTCAAAGAAGATACCAAAAAAAAAAATCTTATAAAGGCATTCACTTCATATATTGTTTTCCATCATTCTCATTGATTTCCATGCTCATCAGTAAATTGGTAAAATTTACAACTGCAAGCACTCACTTCCAGAAAGGAAGTTTGGTTTAAACGTGCATTACTATCAAACCTTGTCAATTACTCTCACGGAGGAACTAGAGGGGATATGACATGAATTTCTCAGTGGTTATAAATATTTAAATATGTTTAGAATTAGATTAAGTTAAAGGAATGCATACATGAGACTTTTCCATGAGGAGCAAATAAGACTTCAGAGAAAATCTGCTAATACATCAAGTCTTCTTGAGGAGCTAATTCTAAGATTGAAAACTGATCTGTTCAATGATCAGTTTTTCATAGTTCCTGCCAGGACCTGCTTCACTTTGATACAGAATAGCAATGGCAACTCAGGAAGATGTTACCTTTGAAATGGCTGCAAAATCCCTTTCTATCCAGTCACTGTTGACATTCTCCCCTAAAACTATTTCTCTATTATTACAATGACTTTATCATAGGTATCGTCAAGGGGACTTCAGTTCCCCTTGAATTCATTCTCCATACCTGGTACCGTATTACTCCCCTGCTTCAAATCATCCACTCTAGAATCCCACTGTCCAACATGGCAGACATGCACTCTACGCCTCATCATTAACTGGCCCCGGTACTTCACAACTGTGTTCCTCACACTGTCTGCTCCAGACAGCCACAGTCAACATCTTTCAGTTTTTTTGAACCTGCCACCTATAACTCTTGCCTCTGGTATTTCTACATGACAACCCTTCCACTAGAATAGTCCCTCAATGTTGGTCAGTCACAGCTTCTGGATTTTTCAAGCCTCAGCTTGGTTTATGTTATCCCCCAAAACCTACCCTGATAAAAGGTCTTAGGGACAGATATTTTGTTTGGAGGGTGTTCTAGTAAGCCTTTGCTAAAGGAAGTGGGAAAAACCAATGATGAGTATAATATTGGGTATGTTACCACAATAGCCAGTTGGCCCTTTACCCCCATGGAGACCCTTTGAGAAACAGCAAAGAAAACATTCAAAATCATTTCACTGGTGGTCGGAAGGCTGGGACATTCATCCTTCTACTCTCACTGGACTTTGTGATTAATTGGACACAAAAGTTGGAAGTAGGGCTGGGTATGATAGTTGGATGTAAGGCTGGGTATAGTGGCTCATGCCTGTAATCCTAGTATTACAGTCTTAATCCTAGTATTAAGAGTCTGGGCAAAATCCAGTTTATTTATTTATGCCAAGTAGTATTAACTTTGGAAGGAACTGAAAAATTTAAGAAAAAAATATTTGCTTTATTTACATGGATATTCCCAGTAATGCCGGCCTTATTTCCAGTAAAACTTCCACATCTCTCATACACAAAAATATCCGCATAAACATCAGGTAACTATGATAAATGTGATTCAATTGGGATGCAATATATTCTTAAAAATACATATAACAATTAAGTGGCTCTCTTGCAACTGAATAAGTGTTCAGATTATTTCAGTCTTACTCTTTACTAACCATGACCCGCATTTTCCAACCGTCTTTTAATGGAAGCAGCTAGGGCTTTATTTATAAATTTTCAGTTGTTCTTTCCTGTAATAATTGATCAATGACCCAGGATGATTTTGGAGTCAGAGACCTGACATTCCAGCTTTAGTACTTAGTAGCCATATGATTTCCTAAATCCTTCGCTCTTTTTATTCCACAGATTGCTCATTGGTCAAATCCAGCCACTTCTTCAAAAGGTTATTATAAGGATCAAAAGACCAACAATACCTGGACTTTCCTAAGACAGAATAAATGCTGGTAACATTACATCAGACACATAAAGTTGTCTAGCACAGCAATGATTTCTTAACACCATTTCCCTAAACAAAAATAGCTCCTTATTTGATGCCAAATAGCTGCGAATGATTTGATGTATCAGTATGTTCTTTCTAATACAAAAATGCCTCATCACAACACTTTTAAAAAAAAAGGATGAAACGATTTCAAGCAAATTTCTTTTCTAATAGAATTGATATCACAATTAGACACTGTTTCTGGGAAATGTTATGATGGCTTCATTACTGTTTTATTAAAATGATCATAATTATACTTACAGGTATTAGAAGAATGCAATTATCATTTAAGATATGACATTAAGAATTTTGCCTGTATTTAGTAAGTATGAGGGCTAAAATTAGTTGGTAAAAGTACAGTGAAAATTAGGGTATTTGTATAGTTTCAGAATATCACACAGCAAGGTATTTGTTAACTTCAAAAAGAAAATAGTAATTTTACAGTGAACCCGGCAGCTAGCACCTTAACCAGGCGATCGAAGTTAACACCACTAATGACACATCATGTACCTCTTGAGACCACGTCGCAAAGAAGGACAAAATAGCACCTCTGTTGTGGCATTGTCAAAAGAAAAAGACTAATACAAGTAGTATTAATATTAGATATAAAGAAACAGCAGGACACCCCAACTCAGGGATCTTATACAAAATAAACAGTCAATAATTCTCAAAAGGGCCAAGTTTACGAAAGACGAAGACTAAACAAAGGTCAAAGATTGAAGGAAACCAGAAGATGTGACAAATCAATGCAAAGCAGGGCCTACGCTGGATCCTGGGCAAGAAAAACAATCTGCGGACAGTGAGCACAATTAGAAGAACTGACAGCCATTCGTATTCATTTTGTTCTTGGTAGACGTTACAACTCCATTTTCCTTAAAATGCGGTAATGATGAAACGTAACAGGACATAATTTGAAAGCAAACAGATACTTTGAAAGCCAAAGCTACAACAGAGGGAAAATCTGAGAAAGGTGCGGAGCAGACTCCTCAGATCAGACATGAAGAATCACAGGGACAGGACTAAGAATCACCGGGGCAGGAGGAACAGTGCTCCAAGCCCTGCAGCCCTCACAAAGCAGGAGGTCCCTTGTCACGCAGATTCAGCCCCAACGACTCACTTTTTGTGCGTTCAAGAGCAGACGCCTCCATTTCTTACCCTTTCAGGATAATTCCAGGGGCCTCTTTACTTTTTCATATTTTTATTAAATCATTAATGTGTACATGGATGCATTTATGGGTTTCAGGGTCCTGATTTGATATACGATGTGAAATCTGTTTTCTAGACTTACAAAACATTTACTTCTTTTAAAAAAATTCTCAGGGGTAACCGTTGAGCATTGCTTTATTCCCCCACTTCACTGAATAAACATCAAGGTTGTAGAATGATAAATAC